TTTCAACACAAATAAAACATGTATGTTTATATATGTTAATAAGCTCCCATATATTTATATGTGCAAGCTACATTTATTAGCTCTCTGAGTCTTATCCTAGTTAAAGTGAAAACAACTTGCAAGTGTTCTCAGATCCTGCTGTATGTTTCCAGGAGCCAAGTGGTCAGATATCCCTGGAATGTCCCTAACAAGCCGTCAAATAAATTGGGACACCCCTAGGTAATAACCTCTCAACATTGGTACTTTCATGTACCATGAAATCCTAAATGTGTTTTCTACAGCCCCATCATAGCTGTCCTTCAAAGTGTGTGGAGTCCAAAATGTTGAGAGAAGTGCTTACCGACTGCACTAAGTTTCATTTTTTAAAGAAGTAGCTATGTTAGTCCTTGTAAACATATGAGACAAACAAACTCAGAGAGACATATACAGACGCACAGTTACAAACACACATACACAGAGACACACACGAAGACAAAAAACATTGTGGCACTTTATAGCCCAACTGCTATATTTTTTATGTGAGCTTTTATGGATCAGGTCCACTTCCGCAGACGTTAGAGCAAGACTATCTGTAAATATGACAATCATATAGTCACAGTCATTAGACTGAGAAAGAAACATTAGATTGAGTTCAAGGGCTCATCCTCTGGGCCCTTGAACTCAGCTGCCATTTAAACTTTCTGAGGTATTTGAAGTTCTTCACCGGCTAAATAGTTTTATTGTAGTAATTTTATAAGATTGCAGTTCAGCCTCAAATATGTTAATGACATGTTGTTGTTTAGTCGTGTCTGACTCTTTGTGACTCCATGGACCAGAGCACACCAGGCCCTCCTATCTTCCACTGCCTCCCGGAGTTTGGTCAAATTCATGTTGGTCGCTTCGATGACACTGTCCAACCATCTCATCCTCTGTCATCCCCTTCTCCTCCTGCCTTCACACTTTCCTAACTCTTTTCCAGGGAGTCTTCTCTTCTCATGAGATGGCCAAAGTATTGGAGCCTCAGCTTCAGGATTTGTCCTTCCAGTGAGCACTAAGGGTTGATTTCCTTTAGAATGGATAAGTTTGTTCCCTTTGTGTGAGGGTTCAGTTTTTGGGGCTGTCGGTTCTTCAAATAAAGGACGAGTCGGTTGAGGTAAATCGAATGGTTCAGTATTTATTGCAACATCAACTCCAACTGGGTTCGCCCCTAAAAAGGGGTTCAAAGATTCTTGCAACACATTGCTCGGCTTTAACGGGGTCCATAAACCGTTTATAAAAGGATTTGTCGTCTCTGGGTTCCAAGGTCCTGTTAATAACGGCACAGTTCCCTGCCCAGGGTCCAATTCTTCGTCCAGAGATATCAGCGGTAAAGTCTCTTCATCCCCGCTCCACTCGCCCCAGGACGACCCGTCTCCTCCTTCGACTCCCTAGGGACCGGGTAACCCCCCAACTTCCTCAATT